AAGTGGAGATCTTTTTTAAACGTTGGAACCTCATTTAATTTTATGTCTTATAGAGTTTATAATGAGTAAAAGATTGTATAGGCGTAATAATTCATCTGTAAACCTAAAACTGTACAGCCAATTTTGAAAGAGATGTACCCTAGCTCAGAAAAATGTTATTGAATAGGTTAATGCTGTTGTAATGAAATGCTTCTTCTAATTAAAAAAAAATAGGTATGCGCCTAGACTTATTCACAGGTGAGTCTGCTTCCTATAGAGAATCCTCTGGGAACGCAGCATTACTTAAAAGATTTCCCAATAAATTCTCTCACAATTTCAGTATGCACGTATTTGTTTCTTTACATCTGTGAAATCTCCAAGAACTTTGTCTCAGATATTGTGAACTGGCAGTATAATTAGAAAACAAAAGGCCCAGGGTACTAGAAAAAAAACATAGAAAGTAACAGAGAGAAAGGAGATTGTATGATGAACTGTAAGGAGAGGTACAGGAAATGGAAAGGTACTAAGGTGATCCACCTAATAAATGGCAGAGCCAGTATTTAAATCTGAATAGCTTAGCTACAAAGCCTACATAACAATCCACTATGGCACTGACCATCAGGTATACAAGATGTATGACAGTTTTAATGTGCAACTGGCAACAAGAACCCTATTTTGTTTTTTTTGTTTGTTTGTTTTTGGTCTTTTTAAGACTCCCTGTAGCCCCAGCTGGCCTGGAACTCACAGTGAGCTGCCTGCCTCTGCCTCCCTGATTAAAGGTATGTGCCACCACACCTAGTTAAAAACTCTATTTATAAAAAAAACCCAAAACTCTATTTATATTAAATGACTAAAAATAATAACTAGGCAGATGAAGAAAGGGGAAGAAGTTAGAAAGTATATGTTAACAGAACAGACAAGAGTCCACTGGGCACACTGCCTGGTTTCACTTACTGAACTGATTTCCTGTTGTGAATCTTGGAGGTGCTGTTGAAGAGGTTCCAGCTGAGCCTTTCCTGACTCCACACTGTCTTCCAATCGTGCTGTTTCTTGTTGTAGGTGACTAAGCTCTTCTCTAGCTTTGGCCAGTTCTTCTTCATACGTGGAGATCTGTGATTCTTGACTAGTTATTTCAGCTTTAAGGGAAGAGATCTATAAACAGAGAGGAACGGGAGAAAAGGGGAATTAAATGAAGAGATGTCATTAAGTTTTTGGGGTTTTTTGTCTGATTAAGTTGGGATGAGTCTTGTGCACACTGTCACTATTGTTGCAAGTTCTCCTGCTGTAGCCCCAGCTAACCTGGAACTCACTATGTAGACCAGGCTGGCCCTGAACTCAAGAGATCAGCCTGCCTCTGCCTCCCAAGTGCTGGGATTAAAGGCGTGTGCCACCACGCCTGGCAAGATTTTTTTTTTTTAAATATTTTATTAGTTTAATTTTCTGTGTGTGAGTGTACTGCCTGCATGTACGTTAAGTGCACCCATGTTGTGCAATGCCTGCAGAGGTCAGAACGCAGCGTCAGATCCCCTGGAACTAGAGTTACGGATGGTTGTTAGCCACCATGTGAGTGCTGGGAATCAAACCCGGGTCCTTTGCAAGAGCAGTCCACGCTCTTAACCACTGAGCCATCTCTCCAGTGCCGTAAGAGGTTCTATAATGTAACTAAACTTGTTTAGTTTAATGCTTTGGAATTTTCTGGTATTAGATGATAACTGAGGGAAGGGATAAAAGAGACTTGAAAGCAAAGGTAACATACTTGCAATCAAAATTTGGAAAAATATTGTCTTTCTGCTTTCTACTACAGAGCGAGCACATATAACTCCTCTTGAACTTACTCCATGTCCGTCACATAGACACTGCTGACTAGGCTGCCATCTAACAAGTAGAGAAAACTTTCCCATTAAACCATGAAAGCAATGAAGGTGTGGATTCAGGTATCAAAAAGCAGCCAGACTTTACCAGCTTGGCCTCCTCGGCGCATTTCTTTTTGACTTCCTTGAGTTGCTCCTCCAGCTGGGCTTTCTGCTCATCTAGTTCATCCAGGACTTCCTGGACTTGCTGCTTCTGGGCCTGTAGTTTTTGCAGATTAACACTCTCCCTTTGAACTTCATCTTGAAGATCCTAAAACATAACAAATGTAACACGGCCTCTTCTTTCACCCTTCCCTTGCTCTTACATCTCATTTCCATTCTGTCAGCAAATCCTGCTGTTTTGTCCTTCAACTGATAACTAGGAATGGACATTTCGCCCACTTACTCAGTGCTGGTCTAAGTCACTTTCATCTCTCTCAGACGGCTGCTTTCCAACTCGTTATACTGCTTCCACACAACATACCTTTGCATGTATTTTCAGCACCTCAGCCACTATGAAAACCTTTGTCAAGGGGGCTGGAGAGGTGGCTCAGTGGTTAAGATTACTCACTGCTCTTGCAGATTCAATTCTCACATGGCAATTAACAACCATCTATAACTCCAGTTCCAGGGGATCTGACACCCCTTCTGATGTCCGCAGGCATTGACCGACATGAGTGCACCTACCTACATGCAAGCAATACACTCATACACATGCATGTGCAAGGCCCTGGGCTCAATCCCTAGCACCAAAAACAAACAAAAAACCACTCCAAGTTATGTCGAATTTCACAAATTACTTGTATGTAGAAGGGAAATTAGTGGTCTCATAAATTTCCAGTCCTTCATTGCTTTTTCTTTTTAATTTTTATTTTCAATTTGGCATTTAATGCAGAAGTTAGAGCAATTATCAAATTGGTTGTTCCACAGAACAGAAGTTCCCTGTGGAAAACACGTATTTCAATTATTGAGAAAAGACATTCTGTTGAAGGATGTGAACATCATGTCCCAAACACCAACTCTGCTTCCAAAGACAGTTTGGAGGGCACCCCTTTCTCATGTTGACAACCTTCAGGTTTGAGTAACTCATCAAAAGATTGACCATCAGTCACCACATGGAGACAACTCGGTGCATGATGCTGTGAATTCTAACCACTCATTCTATAATTTGAGAGCTCTTAGATTCTTACATGTCTTGGCAGTAAATTTATGATCTACATAAAAAGAAACTCAGTTTCCTACAATTTGAATATGGTCTTCATGCCAAAGATTATAGCATCAATTTTTTTTTAACTTAAAATTTTTTTTTAATTGAACATTTCATACATGCATATAAGGTGTTTGACTGTCCCCTCACTGCTTCTTAAAATACCTTTTAAAATCAGCTTACAGGGTTCCCTGAAAAACCCTATTTAAACTTTTACTGGAGTATAGATTATATGGTTATATATCCCAGCTCATGTCCAACTTCTCCTTCCCTTGCTTGATTTCAGTCACACTGACTGCTGTGCTGCTCCTCAAACAAGCTAAATATGCAACCCTCTGGACACCTTCTACTGCTTTATTCCTTCTAGAACATTCTTCTGCTAGGTATCCAGGCCCTCATCTCTTACAAGGCTTTTCTCTATTACCTTCTCAGTTTGTGACCACCACAACTACCACCTCCCCACTCCTTACACATAGCATATAATTTTATTTTCTGTTTATTGAGATAATTTACAATCATACAGCTAATCCATTTAATTATCGAATTCAATGGCCTTTATAGTTATTCATAGCGTTGTGCAATTACTACCTCAAGTTATTTCAGAACATTTCCATCAACCCCAAAAAGAAACCATGTACTCACTAGCAAGTTGTCCACCCCCCACACCCCATTTTACTTCTGACCTCCTTTCCCTACTCCCCACCCTCCTCTGTCCTAGGTAACCACCAATCTATTTTTTATCTCTACAGATTTGTCTGTCCAGGATATTTTACATAAATGTACATATAACATTTTCTTGTCTGACTGGCTTCTTTCACTTAGCATAATATTTTCAATATTGGCACATAATGTTAAACAGCTTCACTGAGATATAAATATTTATATTATATATAACAATATAATAAATTTACACATTTGTATAACTACCATCAAAAACCAGTTTTAGGTGCTTCACTTACACCCAAAGTTCCTTCATGCTCCACTGCAGTCAAACTATTCCCGATCTCACGTCCCAAGTGCGTAAAGACCTGTTGTTCTAGTTTTATATTTTGTAGAAAGTTCACATGAATGGGATTATATAATAGGCAATATGTTATATCTTGCTCTTGACATCTAATATAACATTTTACAAGTTCATATATAAATGACTTATTCTGTTTTATTGTTGAGTAGTATTGTATCATATTATATATCATATGATATACATGTAGATAGACATTTAGATTTCCTGGGGTTTTTTTTGAGACAGCATCACGCCGTGTAAGCCTATGCTGGCTTTGAACTCATTAATCTTCTGTCTCAGCCTTTCAAAGGCTGGATTACAGGTGTGGTATGCTCAACTCTTTGTTAATGGTCTAAACTCTCCACTAGCATATAAACTCCGTAAGTTTGTGAATATTTCTAGGTTTTATTCACTGCTGTAGCTCCAGTTTCCCGAACATAAAAAGTACTCCAAAAATATTAAGTGATAAATTCTATAACAAAGGCCCAATTCTTTCCTTATCAATCTACAGTCCAGTAAAAATTTAAATAAAGTTTTTCAAGGAACCCTATAAGCTAAATTTAAAAGGCATTTTAAAAATCAAGAGGCTGGAGGGACTGGAGATGTAGGTCAGTTGGTAGTGTGCTCTCTTGCATGCAAGAATCCTCAGAACTGTATAAACTAGATACGGTGTCACACACCTGTATTTCTGGCATTTGGGAAGTGGAGGCAGGAGGATCAGAAGTTAAGGTCATTCTCAGGAGTTTGAAGTCAGCCTGAAACACATAAAACCCTGTCTCAATGATATAAAATAAAAGCACTGAAAAAAGTCTGATAAAATGTGAAAGAAATTACCCTACTAGGTATCATGAATCATTGAAAAATGAAAATAAAAGTTTGGTATTGAACAAGGAAAGACAGAGATCTAGGCAAACAGAAAAAGCAATGTAAAAAACACATTAAAGCTGACCATGGGACTAGAGTACTCAACAGTAAATGATGCTCGGTTTACCCATATGTAAAACAATTTAAAGTGAAATCTATTCTTCCACCAAAAAGAAAAATTCCTGAAAATTTTTATAATATGTAAAAGAAGGGCTGGGTGTGGTGGCACATGCTTTTAATCCCAGCACTCAGGAGACAGACGCAGGTAGATCCCTGTGAGTTCAAGGCCAGCCTGGTCTACATAGCACATTCCAGGCCAGCTGGGGCTACAGGGAGACCCTGTCTCAAAAAACCAAAACCAAATAAACAGAAAAGTGTAAAAGAAAATATAGATCATATATGAAAGGTTGGCTTCAAAACAGAAACATTTCAGATGGGCAAGGGGCACACCTATGATCCCAGCACTTGGGAGGCAGCCAACAGGAAGATGAGGAATTCAAGGTTATTCTCAGCCATACAGCATAGCAAGTTTGCTACCAACCTGGAGTACAAGAAATTGTTTCAAAAAATCACGTAGAGAAGAAATATAACCATTTAGAAAATGCTACTGTTTATCTAACATCTATGTTCCGGCACTTATACTTAAGGGCTACAGAAACAAAAACAAAAACAAACATGAAGTCCGTGCCAAATGAATGAAGCATGACCACCATGGAACACATTAGCCAAGACAGCTTGATTTGTGCATCTTTTGATAACTGGGGTCCCTCATATGAACCATGGGGAGGTGGGGAGGAGGAAAAAAAAAACGGGTATGTTCCCATTTCTCCCAAGAATATTTTACTACTATAACTGTAGATGTACAGAGAGATGTTAATTGATTATGTAGAAAAGATTAGGCCACCAAGATGGCTCAGTGCACTTGCTACCAATGCCTGATGGCCTGAGTTTGATCCCCAGGATACATATGGTAGAAGGGCAGAACTGACTTCCAAAAGCTCTCCTTTGACTGTATGAGTTCACATTCTCTAATAATATCTAGTTTTATAATCACATATATCATTGCCTTTTACCATAAGTGCAGGAAAATAGAATTTACCTTAAAAGGGTTACAGAAGAAAGTGTTTAGGGGTTTAGGACACAGCTCTTATTTTTATTTATTTATTTTTAAAAGAATACTGTTTTCAAATCTTTTTGGCTGTTAAAAAATTATTTATTTTTATTTTATGTGTATGAGTGCTTTTCCTGCAATGTATGTGAGTGCACTTATGCCATTGACACCTACAGAAGAAGTGTCAAGATCCCTTGAAAGTGGAGTGACCGCCATGTGCGTTCTGGGACTCAAACCTGTGTCCTCTGCAAGAACAGCCAGTGCTTTTAATCACTGAGTCATCATTCCAGTCCCATAGTTCTTTCTTTCTTTTTTTTTTTTTTGGTCTTTTTGAGACAGGGTCTCCCTGTAGCCACAGCTGGCCTGGATTCCCGAATGATCCGCCTGCCTCTGCCTGGGATTAAAGGCGTGCACCACCACGCTCGGTTTCCATAGTTCTTATTTTTAAAAGCTGAATAGAAAGGCATATATAGTATGATTAGCAATATAAAGCCAATTATGTGTATAGAAAATATAGGAACACATTAACAATTCGCTGATAGAATTTTCTTTCTCATACTTTTCTATGCTTTATTTATAACCACTGAGCCCATACTTTATTTATTTTTTGGGTTTTTGGTTTTTTTAGACAGAATTGCACTATGGAACCCTGGTTGACCTGGAACTCACTATGTAGATCAGGCCAGGTTGGACTCAAACTGAAAACACCCAGTAAGCTGATTTTAAAAGACATTTTTTTAGGGTCTGGAGAGATTGCTCAGTTAAGAACACTGACTACTCTTGCAGAGGACCCAGGTTCAATTCCCAGCACCCACATGGCAGCTAACAACTATCGGTAACTCCAGTTCCAGGGGATATGACACCTTCTTCTGACCTCTGCAGGTACTGCATGACACAGGTGCACTTACATACATGCAGGCAATACACTCATATACAAAAAATAAAAATAATGTATAATACATATATTTTGGGGGGAAGGGTTTATTTAGAGTACATCTCCTGGGTCACAGTTGATCACTGAGGGAGCCTGCGGTAGGAACTCAGGGCAGGAACCTGGAGGCAGGAGCCAGAGCACAGACCATGGAG